AGGGTCGAAAACTCCACGAGTTGTAGAACAATCAACGTGGTATGGGATGAAACTGGGGATAGGGAGGTATGACAACCGGACATGGTCCAGTGCCATGGGGAGTGAAGCGGAGTGCTTCGGGGTACTGCCGGAGGTCGAGGGAAGGGGCCAGTCTTCTTAACGACGATCCGGAATGGTGTTTACTCGAAGGACGGGGCGTAAGCCAAGGTCCCTGGACGAGTCTAGGAATGTCCCGAAGGACGGGGAATGTTCCGAAGAACTGCTGGCAGGTCCGGAGCGATGCCGGAGTGCGAGCGTTTGAGACCTAAAGCCTCGGAGGAACGTTCTGAGGAACGAACGTTGGCGCAAGGCCCGAGAAACGCAAGCAGAGTGAACCGAAGCGTTATTTGGCGAAGGTGTCAGAATTGGGTGGTGTAGACGTAGACGTCCGTCCATAGTTGGAACAACCACAGCAATATCCGGCTTAGATGCCGGTCGTGCGCGCACTTGAAACCCAGAGAATACTGGTTGGATTATTTTTGGTGCTACTTCGGTCGCTCAACAGAGCGAAGTGGAGTGCCGCCAAGGTTCCAGGATCCAGATCAAAGAAGAGTCGAGAAGACGTTGACACAGTTTCCATGGCAGATAGCCATATCGGAATGACAACACCAAGTTGAATGGAGGCAGATGGACTGCCGATTAATGAAGTCGAGAATTGCCGAAGGTACCGGAGTGAACTGAAGCTCAGCTGGAGTTCCCGCAACGGAGGTTTCAAACCTTAGATTCGCAAATAAGTACAAGTACATTTATTCCGAGACAAGGAGAAAAAGATCCGATACGTAGCGGGAGTTGAATCCCGAGGCAATCTCTAGGATTGATATAGATTTGTTGGAAATCATGAAGCCCGGCTCCGAAGAGCGGGTAGTCGTTAACGGAGCGAATGGAGGCGATGTTGGTATATATCGTGATGCGTGTGTGTGAAGTTAAGCGAGGGATCCCAGGATGAACTCCGGAGCGACGCGGAGTCGCTGACGGAGTTGCGGAGTGCTATTTGTCGTCAAAAATCAAAGGTCCGGAGACCTGACTGGAGGAATTTCCGCTGCTGCTGATGACCTTGTACAGCGGAGCCGATGAGGATCCACGGTGATCAGCAATGGTACGCACTAGACGAGGACAACCGCCGATGTGGTGGAGCGGAGAACCGCAATACCGGCAGAGGTCCAACTCCCGACGTCTCAGAGCTTCGCTCTTGCGGAGACGTCCCGCACGACCGCCTTCCTGCACAAGGAGGCCCGCAACAGATGCGGAGCACTTTCGTTCTCGACGAACCTCCATCGGAACCGCGACTTGGTATACGCACGGGGGTCCGGAGGAGATCGGAGAGAGCGGAGTGGGCGAGTCGTGGTGGATCGGTAGCGACATGAGTGACGGCATGCCGGAGGAAGTGACCGAGTAAGTGGGGTTAGGTTCGGCAACGACTGGTGGCTCTGGGGTGCCGGAGAACAGCAGATCGTTGGCAGCGGGGGTTTCGGAGCCTGCAGGAGCACTGAGAGGCGTTCCGAAGAACCCGCGAGCACAGTCGGCCCAATTCCCTTGCTCCGGAGTACCGACAGGCTGCTCCGGAGTCGCGCTTCCGGCCAGAAGTACCGCCTGCCAGTGTTTGGCATCGAGCCGAATCACTAGGGAGCGGAGTCCGGCGTAGCTGGACGGATACGTGATGAGATCGTTGAGCTGCATGGTGATACGGAGTGGAAGCGTGGAGTAGAGAGCGTGGGAGACTGCGGAGTCATTCCAGGCCATGAACGGAGTGAGAGCCTCAAACTCCTTGAGGAATGGCCCAATTGGATCTCCGTGTTTCATCCGAAGGCGTCGGAGTTCGTAGTCCGCGTCGGCGTGACGACTCCGACGTCCGAACACATCCAGGAATTCCCCGATGAACGTGGAAAAGTTTCCATGCCAGGAAAACTCTTCGACACGGCCCGATTCGTTGAAAAGCTCAGCCGCCTGCCCCTTTAGGAAGTGGAGCATGAAGGCGATCTTGTCATCGTCCGAGGCGTATGTCCGAGGACGCCCGGAGAAGTGCGCGAAGCACTGAGTGATGAACGAATCGATTTTCAACGGATTAGTGCCGTCGAAAAATTCCGGGTATGGGATGTGAACTGGTCCGAGGTCATGGTACGAGGCCTGGGAACCAGGGACTGGTGGATGAGGAGGAGAATGGATGGGAGAGCAATACTGATTGATGTGCTGATATTCACCGTCGAGGCCGCGGTCCGAGGGGCTCGGAGTAAGCGCGGGCTCAGACGGAGTGAGTGTGGTGGATTCCGGAAGGGTGGATGGATCGCTGAATGTCGGGATCCATGTGCCCGAGGAGGCCAGCTCTTCCCGAGCAGACTGCCGGTCCCCGAAGATCGACTCGGAGTCGGATCTCGACGGAGAGGGCGGTGCCGGAGAAGGATAAGTGGTGAAGCTGGTTCGGACAGACCCAGTTTCCGGGGGACCGTACGGAGTGGTAATCACTGAGATGGGGTAGTGACTAGCATCTGTAGTGACGAGATCAGACGAGCACTTATCGTCGGTAGGCTCGGAGTTGATTTGTGCGGAGGAATACAACTCGGCCCTGCGCCGCATTGATGTCGGCGACAGGAGGAACCAAGGTGTAGTACGGAGTGATGATGATGACATAGCAAACGATACCGAGCAGGTGAGTTTTATGATACTGTTATATCCAAGTCGTCCAGAAGATGGTACGGAGGGATATAGGGCCAGTCGAACTAACAACAGATACGAAGCGGAGCGGCGGGCCGGACAGAATGGAACCGGAGTCCGGAGTCGGAGCTGGTGAAAGGCGGACTGGATGACGCTACGCCACAGAGGGGATAATTGGACGAGTGTTACTGCAGAATATCGTCGGAGGGAGAGAGATGACAGAAGCGGAGCTCCGGCGGAGTGTCGGAGCAGAACGAGCAGACTACTTCACGAGGAACGGGGTGAAGCAACGTTTATCATAAAACTGAAGTACAGGAGGATGTATGACAAGATTAAATACTAGAGCTCCTTATTGTAATAGGTAAAGGAGATATGTTAGAAACCATGCGGACATAACAATAAAGGTAAGTCCGAAAGGGGAGAAAGAAGTCAGGTGACAAAAGGGACGATGTTGAAACAATAAGTAAGAAGTCGGAGGACTTAAGATAATAAGGAATGTGTGGGATGGCGTCTTGCCATGGTGTCAGATGGTGGGAGTTCGTTCCGATGTTTTGTCGGAGCTCTGATCGTTCCGTTACTCCGGCGGTCCGATGCGCTCCGAGAAGACGGAGCGCGATCAGAGCCGGAAGGACCGATCAGAGTAGTTTGTTGGAGGTCATAGCGCATGGATATAACAGGTAGACACCTTGCTGAACAGAGTTAATGATGAGAAAAGCGAATAAAGGCGGGCGAGTCATGTCACAGTGTATAAAAATACTATCACGTATCGATACAATGTATCATTTATCAAAATACGTGATTGAGGGGGTTCGATATCCAAATGGGTCCTCCTGCATGCGTAGACAGTTCATGTTCTGAGTAATGAATAATACCAAAGCCTCTGGGAGTGAATTCAGTTTCTGAGGAACGTACATGCTGGGTGCAGCTTCCACCGTATAACCCAAAAGGGACTTGGGTAACTGTAAAAGTGAGAAGTGCTGTCATGAATCCCCGTCCATTGCGGTGTGATACGGACTGCGGTTCCGTGAGTCGTCTGACTGGGTGTGTGGTATAATCAGGCAAAAGCACGAAGTTAATTCGTCCTCTAGGGGGGAATTTCTCTGTCGCGGAGATACACCTGCTACTGTGTTACACAGGGTGGTGGTGGTACAGCTCCTTCCATACGGAATGAACAGTTTCGCTACTCGTTGGGGGCTCCTTCCAGGAAAGCTACGATTGGAGGGTTGCAAAGGGCATGGCTCCGCAAGATGAACACTGTTCTGCACCAAGATGCCTGGGCTAGATGGTCCTTTTCCTTATCTCCTTGCCTAGTACAGGTCAGGCAAGCAGTGTCTTCAAAACTGTTAAACACAACACGTACGGGTTATAGCGTGGACCTTCGTAACCCGGGTTTTTCTCCACGCTGTGGTGGCACGGCCAAGGGCTTTTTAATTCTGTGGACGTGCGTGGGGTGAAATGGCAAGAATGAATTGTGGAGTGGTTATAATTGAATCGGATAAGCCTTCTGCAATGATGGGGGTGGTACTCCACGCACGGATCTGTGTTCGAGGCCCAAGCCAATGGTTACACACAGCTAAGTTGGGTTGCTGGCCGTTTAGAATTCTTGCTGCGTGTTCTACAACCACATGCACTATCAACACCGATGTTTCTATAATTCCCTCTGGCTCGTTCTATTGAACCAGAAGTACTACGGACAAGCCCCCTTGTTTGAAGCTTTGGCCCAAATTGACCTTGGTTGGTCCCACAGAGGGCGGCACAACCTGAGCGAGTATGTATTTGACTAGATTCTCACCCCGTGTATTTGAGGGGAAGTAGCTTAGGTATGAGCAGTGGGAGGTAATAAGATGCATTCTTCTATGTACGTTCCTGCTTTTATACTAATTCTCTTCTGATCGCTGCACGCAACCTTATTCCTCTTCCGTCCATGGACCCTTTCAACACTGCTCCCCTTGCCTCGTAGTGTGGATCTCCATGCTGTTCCGTGTGCTGAAGGAGGTAGTTAGCTAGCGGAAAGTTACGTCTTTGTCTGTGACCCCTAATTTCCGTACTCCGTAGCTCGTGCCTTCTTCCGCGGCTCGATATTCACGTCTTTGTCTGTGGCACCTGATTTCTGTACTCCGTACTCCGTAACTTGGCGCGATGCTTGCCTTCTGCCCTGGTACCTTGATTGCTCATGGCCCGAATAGCTGCCTCCTTTTGCGAAGAATGAGAGCTTCTGCTGCGAGCTGAATCGAACCAAGGTCTTCCGTATTTATTGTGTCAATTGTTGGTTTCTGTGTAGATCATAGCCATTGGCAGGGTTTGTAGTGCTAGACCTGGTGGTGTAGCTGGTAACATGCACATTTACTGTAGGAGGACGACACATAATCTTTAAAATGTGAGACCCTCGTTCGATTTGAGGTCAGGTCATGTGCTCTTTAGCTTCTTTTTTTTCCATGCGTGTTCCGTGGTGCGTATTTTGGAATCATGCTCACCACGATTCATAGGCAGAAGAGAAAAGCTCAAGAAGGTCGGCCAAGATAATTTCAAGACCCTTTTGTGGGGATGGATTCGTTGTAGCAAAAGGTATAGGTACACCGTAAAATTTCCGCCAGCCATCAACCACCTGAAAATTACAGTTCAGCCACGTTCCAACGTTAACTGGGAGCCACCCTGATGGCTAATTGCCAGAGTTTGTATCGTATTGTCCTAGGGTAGGGGTGAGGGAAGGGAGCAAGCCGGATTTGCGGTGGCGGCTGCGGTGCCGTGCGTGGCAATCAGTGGCAGTGCCACTTACCGCCGGGTCGCCGGCCGCGGCCGCAAGCGGACACAGCTTCCTTCTTACCAACTTTTGAGGACCTCCTACGTGCTATCTTGCGTGCTATTGCAAACATGGCCGAGTCCGACGCATTGCTGCGAGAAACCATTGACATGGCGCAATATCCAACCATGTTTGATCCATCCAGTCTTGTCAGAAAGGGATTCTGTCCGGTCCATTCAAGTTCAACTGGGACGCCAGCTTTCGAAACCCATTCGCTGTATTACGAGCAACATGGAACTGGCGATAAAGTCTGTACTCGTTCAATACGGTAGTCGCTTGACCGACATGTTGCTATTGAAGCGCGTCTTACTGATAAATGGACTCAACACCAACTCATTCGGATGGGACTTTCAAGTACGAAGCCTTGCACCGATGTGTTCTGTACTGGTGTTTGACAACCGTGGCTGTGGGTACTCTGGATATCCGACAGGACGCTACACGTGCAGTGATATTCGACTACGCGCTGAATCCATGCTAACCACTACCGTTTCCCAGAACTTCGGGAATGGCGGAAGATATTATAGTCCTTCTTGAATACATCGGCTGGACAGCGTCGTGCCAACTCCACGTCGTCGGGGTGAGTCTCGGTGGAATGATAGCGCAAGGTATGTTACACTACTATGTACAGGTTTGAACAAGGAGGTATCAACCCTGACGTCTTCTAAGAACTGGCTTTGCGTATTTCCGATCGCATAGCTTCTCTCACTCTTTGCGTGACGACACCAGGCGGGATGCCATGGCAGAACTTTCCACCTGTTAGTCCCTATGTCCAAAATAAAACAACCTCGTTGAACCTCCTGTCCAGCTTCAAGGCGTCAAATTCCTCACCAGGTATGCCACCGATGGGTTTTGTGGACTTTTCACTCATATTTGTAGCCTGCTTTTGACAAAGGAACCCGAGGAGAAAGTGCCCACGGTTTTGAAGATGTTATATCCCGCTTCTTGGCTCGACGAGACCGCGATGGACGACGAAAGGCAACGCTCCAATCGGGAGGTCCAGAGTGAGGTAACTATTTGTTTATAGCTTTGGGGAATCCTACCGACGCGCCTCCAACTCAGCTATATCTTCGGCGCGTCCTATTCAGCCCCAAGCAGCGAATCATCGGCCACGTCTCGCAGCTCGTGGCTGCACTTACACACCACGTCTCTCCTGACCGACTGCGCCGAATTTCGCAGACCGTTCCCAAGGTCGTCATCCTCTGTGGAGATCAAGACTTTTTAGTAGATCTGCGGCATTCCAGAGACCTCAAGGCATCCATGCCTGAGGCGGAATTTGTTCAGTGGGAGAGTACGGGCCATGGAATTCACTCACAGCGCCCGACAGAGTTCCACGAGCTTCTGGTTCGAATTTTCAATGACGCAGGCGCCGTGAATTAATTGAATCCTTGCAATAACACTTGTTCTTATCTTTCTTGCTGTGCATGGTGTAGTCAGATTAGGAAGCGCTACCACTTATCAAAGACCCGGGTGTGTCTTTGTTGCTACGTACGACAAGTGAGAACTCGGGCTTTGGTCTGTATGGCGAACACAGTGAGTGGGAAAGGAGCGTACACATACGGCAAGAATAAATGTAACGCCCGCGTCGCTGAACACGCGAGCTCAATCCTCTACGCTGCGCCCATGGAATATATTGTGGGCCAGTGCCGCAGGGTTTCACGACGAAGAAGTTTACCCTCGGAAAACAGATCAGGGACCGCAGATCTTAACCATACAGGGGATATTTTCGGTCCATTTTGAGATCCTTCCACCTCGCTATGATAGGCGTTAAAATCGCCAAGACAAGGTCGGCAGAGGTAACACCGGGTTTTCTCCTGCGTCTCGGAAAAACCGAGATGGGGAGCGGCTCGGATCGAGCCAGGAGGGTCTTGAACCTAGGCAGAGTGCTCTGCCTCTATCTAGTCCTATCTGGCCGCGGGCCCAGAGGCTCGGGGAGCTAGCGGCGAAAAAGAGCAGACCTGCAAAAGCAGGAACGCTGTGTGATATATCCCAAAGGACCGAAAGTCGTTCTGCCTTGACTTGACAGCGACCGTGAATAATTTCTACGAGCAATTCAATCGGGAGCCTCCCCGCGGGCATGGCCATCATCCAAAGCCGCGCCAGAGTACGCTCTTTTTGCCCGTACGTGAGATGGGGGATATTTGCTTCGGTTGCCTCGATTTGGACTCTGATATCCTCTCTTGAGAGAAGTGGTGGTCGGTATGTAGAACGCGAAGGCTGTGGACCCTAATAGGGGACCTTCCATTTCATTTAATGGGCGGAGGTTTTCATACCTTGAGCTCGTCCAGATCTTCCGTCATACGAAATAAAGGAGTTGCAGAGGTAGGTGTGCCAGTGCGACTGTCAGATCCGGCTTCCTCCTTCTTCCATATCGTTGGGTCGAGCTGTCGCTGGATGACGACTACATCTCACCGGCGGGGTACCTGGATGGTTTGAAGATGGTGCTCGACCGATCTTCACCTCTCCCAATCGCAGTCTTGCTCACTCTCAACGATGAGCCCAGATTTTATAGCTCAGATTACGTTGCCTACATCTTCAAGCTCCTGGCACCGACGATGATGCGGTGGAAGGACCTCGAAATCGATATCATCGTGCTGCTTTGGAAGGTCCTGATAGGTCGGCCAGGCCTGATCAGGCAAATTGGGTTTCCGACCAGGGGAAAAAACTCCTTCAAGATGGCATGCCTCCCGCAGACATAACGCACAACATCTTCCAAGCCATCGAACAAGCAACCATGGAGGCGCGCAGGAACACTGAAAACAGGAGCTGGGATGAAGCACGGCTTATTACCATGTACTTTGTGGTTGGTTGATAAAGATTGGGAGCGCGTTGCTGTTCAAAAAGCGCGCTAGACCAGTTGATGTTGAGTCCGAGTTGAGTGTCGGAGCTGGGGCAGAGGGGACGAGAGAGGGCAAGCCTGGAATCCCTCCGATGGGCGGAAGCTACGTTTGAGGCAGTATTGCGAGTTTCAAGATCTCCAGGTGGAGTTGCGGTAGAAATCGGAAGCGGTGGAGCGTCGAACGCGACCCACACAACGTCCGACAGGGTCGACAGCGAGCACGGAGCTTGGCAAGTCGTCTGACGGTTGGCGTTGAGATTGCAAACGTTGGATGTCGGAGAGTGGCTCGGCCCGACTTGTGCCGATCACGTAACTGAATTCTGTAAGTTGTGCTCCTTGCTCCCGACTTTCATGGCCGTCGAAGCTACTCCCGCTGGTTCTGCTGGTACTGGGGATGGCCACGCGACGGCCCGCCCGCCCCGCCTCCACCGCCGCCGGATGTCCGCGCCCGCCCCGCGCGCCCGCCCCGCCCCGCGCCGCCTCCCGCCGTGCCGCCCCCTCCCGCTCTCCCTCGAGGCGCTCGACCTCTCCCCCGCCGCCTCGCCCGCCCAGTCCCTTGCCTCCCTGCGCTTTCTCGTCCTCTCGTACCTAGCAGATCTTGAGCGTAGACTGGCCTTGTTCGACACAGACTCTGCGCTGGACTGCGATTGGCCCAAACGCGCGCTGGACATGCTCCGCGCCATCCGCGCCGACGTCTCCTCCCACCTCCCTGACCTCCCCGACCTCCCTGACCTCGACCTCGTCAAAGACGTCCTGTCGCTCAAACGCCCGCTGTCCTACGTCCCCACTCTGTCCGCAAAGCTGCGCAGTCTGCACGGCGTCCTGGCGGACGAGTTCCCGAGTCTGCGCTTTGACTTTACGCTCCCGTCCCGGCCCTCGTTCGACTTTAGCCGGCCCAGCTTCGACTTTGACTTTACCACCCCGCGCGAGCTGCTCGACGCCTTCCGCGTGGACGTCGACGCCTTCCTGGCCGAGCTCCCGTCCCCCAGCTCGCTGTCCCTGCCGTCGCTCTCGCGCGCCTCGTCCGCGGGCGTCGACGATGAACCTACGGACGCCGACGCCGCCAAGCACGCCCGCGCGCTGCTCCTCTCGCACAACGGCACCGCCCTGCTGGCGTACGACGACCTCCCCGCCGCGTGGCAGAACAACCCCTTCGTCGTGGGCGGGTACCGCTTCATCCCCCTCCGTCGCCCGCACCTCTTGCTGCTCTCCCTCGTGCGGTGCCACAACGAGAGCCTCAACATCTACACCCACTTGGTGCCCCTGCTGCTGTGGGGGAGCGCGTTCGTGTGGCCCGGGCTGTCGGCTGCGTCCCTCGCGGCCCACACTCCGTTGTACTTGAAGGCCAGTCCTTACTTGGCTCCGGTCGCGGCGGGCGCCCGCGTCGTCGGCGCGGTGTTCGGCTGGGTCGCAGGCAGGGTGCCGGGGTGGCTGACGCGCGACGTGGGGCGGTATACGTTGTTTGCTGGTACGTCTTCCCTTCCCCTCTCTTATCCACCAAACTCACTGTTATTCAGACCCCGCCTCTCCCCGCCTCCCTCTCCCCCTCGACGAATCGCTCTTTGTGCTCTTCGCGCTCGCGTGCCTCGCCTCGAGCACGCTGTGGCACACCATGGCAGGGTGCGCGCACCGGCGCGGGATGGAGACGTGTGCAAGGGTGGATTATGTGGGGATTGGGTGGTGAGTATGCCGTTTTCTTTTCCTTTCAAGGGCGGAATATTCGGCGCGACGTCCACTGCGTTGTGCATCCCTCCACACCCCCCGCTTTCCCCA